CATTTTGGGGGGTATTGCTATACCCCGCAAACCCTGTAAACACCGCAAACCCCGTAAACACCGCAAACCCCATCCAAACCCAGTGATAATGAATGAATCACATAGTATAGGACTCAATTTGGTATCGCAATATAAAAAATCATAACTTTATGTTCGACACAACCTATTTTTGGGGTAAAAAGTCCATTTTTTGTATTAAAAAATTGCTAAACCCTGCAAAAATACCTCAAAAAACCACCGCAAACCTTCAAAAACACAGTGCAAACCCCATCCAAACCTTGTGATAGTGATTTTGATTGAAACATGTATAGGACTCACTTGGTATCTCAGAAAAAAAAATTATGTTCCGTTCGTAACAACCTACTGTACTTTTTGGGTAAAAATGCCATTTTTTGTATAAAAAAATTGCTAAACCCTGCAAACCCCCCAAAACACAGTGCAAACCTCATCCAAACCCTGTGATAGTGAATGAATCATGTTTGCGGGATTTAGCAATACCCCGTTTGGGGCAATCATATGCCTTACCTAGGCTGTTCATACTCCCTGTTTAAGATTATTGATATAAAACATCAATAACCATTTGATTTTACCTTGCCAAACTCCATCGGCTCTAGCCCATTTTTTAATACTGTAGCAATTTTTGGCAAAACAACATATCTTTGTTGTTTACGTTACATTTTTTTGCCGCATAATCTTGTAGTTACGTTGTTTTGCCATGGAAAATCACTGGATTTTAAGTTTTGTGCTTGAAGATAGAGTACAGTAGGTGGTGCTATCTGCGAAATGACTCATTATTGAGACCTGAAAGTTTCACAGGTAATTCAGACGTGTTTAATATACTCCCAAATGATATTATCTCAAAATTGACAAAAATGTCAGTTACATTGTTTTGCCTCGGGACGGCCGAACTGCGACGTAAGCAATTTAAATGACCCTCAAATTTACACCCTAACCTGGATCGTCCCCTACACATAATAATATCTTCCTTGTAACTATGTTAAATTTTCCCGAAAGTTTTATTTGGATCAGTTGACCTGCTTTTGAAATATCTGCTCTGGGACGTTTTCCTTTAAATGGTCCTCATATTCACACCTACACTGGATCATCACAAAAATCTAGTCATTTATTTACTGGACCTTTACAAATTACTGTATAAGAAAGTTACATTTACACCCATTGAAAACATTTTATAGATATTTACGTCTGGGATCTCAAAAATTTAAATGACCCTCTGTACACCCTTGACTGATTTGTCGCCAACACATAATACTATCTTCCTTGTAACTTTGTTAAACTTTTTCCGAATGTTTCATTCAGATTACTGTAGTTGATCCATTTTCGAAATATTTGGTCTGGGACGTTTTTCTTTCTTTCAATGGTCCTCAGATCTACACCCTACTCCAGATCGTCACAAACATTTAATCATTTCTTTTACTCGACCTTGATAACTGTTACACAAGGTTTAAATTATACCAATTGATTTTTTTAAAGAAATATTTAGGTCTGGGTCCTCAAAAATTGAAAAGACCCTCAATTTACACCCTTCACTGGATCATCACTACCACATACTGTAAAAATTTCTTCCTTGTAACTTGATTAAACTTTCCTGTAAGTTTCATTCATCAACTGACTGGTTTTTGCAATATCCAGTGTAGACTGTTTGAGCTTAAATCACTTTAATTGGTCCTCACATCACATGCACACCCCACCATAGACTGACACTAAATATTAGGAGGCACATTCTTGATATGGCCTATGCTTCGGCAAAGCACTGAAAAATTTAAAGCATGCGAAGTGACCGAAGTGACGGCCAGAAAAAAACAGTGCAAAAAGATAGGGAAAATATAAGTGCTCAAGAAAAAGGGAAAAAAAAGAAATTAGAACAAAAACAATGACTTTTCCCAGTACTGCTGGGAAAAGCCCATGACTAGATTTTAATCACGTACGATACCAGTCTTTAAATCTGAAAAATGAGTCATTGCAATAAAAATGACTGTATCATTAGCTTTCTTTAATAACAAAACATAATTTATACATTTGTATGCACTAGAAGAACTTTTATTTATTCTTTCCTTTCTGGCACTTCTTGTGACAACAGTTTTACAGCACAACTTGCTTAAAAATTCAAATAAATTAACACCTTATTTAAAATATTTACATGGCAATATCTGTAATACTGTGTTCTGAAAATTCCTGAAATAATTGATTCTTATTTAATGTGCATACCATGTTCTCTGTATTAGCACCAAGGGCACTGATTAAGAATTCAGGCTCAGGCTAGTGGTGAAGGCATCAGGCTAGATACCTAGTTTTTTTCGATAGTATTTTAGGACGTACTATGTATTCGGTACGATAACATGTCAGGTAGGGCAAAATATCACTCCTATGATATTTTCCTGACATAAGCTCACATCGTAATATTCCATCCATACCCGAGACACTACCGTTGTACAATATTGTAATTAAATACTTGGTGCTACTTACTCTTAGCTATAGTAGTAAAGAGCTAATTTTTTTTTAATAGAAAGTTATCCTACAGTACTTCCTATGATTGAAATGGTATTTGTAATAGTAATGCGATTGAGTTTGATACGTATACAGTACTATATGAAGGAAGAAGCAAACAAATGTACTAATTAACAATTAATTACAGGTAAGATTTATTATTATTAAATGTATTGGTCTTCGGGCCTACAAAATAAACTTGCTTGCAACAGGATTAAAGAGGCTTGTCCTTCATGTGAGTTTGGTATAATTGTACTAAGCAGGAAGTATTCAATTCAAAGCATAACCTCCATGCCAAGACTGATAAGATTCATTGTCTACTCACTGCACTCAGTATAACCTTTTATTTGGACATCAGTTGTTGTAGCTTTATTAACACTTCAATCACAAACATTACAATCAAGATTAAATGCAACTATCAGATGTTTGACACAAATTACTTAAGAAATTACCAACATACAATACCATACAAGGCAAAGACAGAATGTCTTATAAAATGTCACAGGGATGTTACAGTATGGGGCCATTTTTACCGGGGCCATTTTTTCCGGGGCCATTCTTTCCGGGGCCATTTTTTCCGGGGCCATTTTTTCCGTGGCCATTCTTACCTACATTCCAATACAAGGCAAAGACAGAGTGTCTTATAAAATGTCACAGGGATGTTACAGTATTTCATCAGTAATTATTTACATGCTGAATAAATTTATATTATGACTCTTTACATAATAATGTCTGATGTGGTACTTGATGAGAACCTCCCAGAATACATGAAGGTATAAAGCAGAATATAAAGGCCAGTCAAATCATAGAGAAAATAGAACACTATTTTCTCTATGGTCAAATGCAGTACACATCACTGATGATTGTTTATGTTGAAGGCCACACTATTAGCATTTAATTACTCAAAGAGAACTCTTCATTGTTTGTGAATGTAACAAATATTATTTTGCTGGTAGGTAGGTTATTGAGGGATACAACTCGTCAGGAGTCGGGTCACTGGTTAAGATTTTATAAAATCATCAAATATAACAATATGAAATATAAAGATGTATTGTCCCCTGTCAAAACTTAAAAAATAATTATGAAATTAACTTGCTCCCTTTGCTTTCTATTTTTACGTACACTCCCTCAAATTGGTGCATTTCTCAGACTTTGTATAATACACCTATACAAGTTGAAGTTTGGAATTAATTTTTTAGTTTATACAAATTAATTATGAGCACAGAAATTACTGAATTAAAAAACTGTGTACCTTGATTTTTATACTGCTGGATAATGAAAAAAAAAAGTTGCTGGAAGTGTACCTTTCATTCTTCGCTGAGAAAAACACTATTCTACCTTCGCTGTTTTATGTTAGAGAGAGTTAATTTCAATTCAAAAATGATTTTTTAAGGAAAATTTTTGGTTTTGGTATTTTTATGAGAGCAATACATCTTTAAATAATTGATATACAGGTCTTCCTCCAACTAAAGACCACTTTTGGGACTGGGGTTTCCATGGTCTTTTGCAGATTTGGTCTCTAATTAGATAAAAGAAATTTGTTAATTTGGGACCACAGAATAGTGGTCTTTAATCGGAGGTGGTCTTACATTGGAGGTGTCTTTCATTGAAGGGAGACCTGTATGTAGTACCTGTAGTATAGTGTTTAGTAGTTAAATTAATCCAAAAAATATTGGAAAATCATTATAAAAAACCCCAATCACACACAAATTGTACCATAAAATAAAAAATTCACTCTCACAGCCAAGTCAATGCATATAAAAATCTCATTAATTATTTATAAAGTAATCATACTCAAGCTTAAACTAACATCTACTAAAGCACAAAGCTACTTTTGCACCGCATTTTGTGTCTGTGTGTGAGTATATGTCACATATGATATGACAATTGTCATATCATATGATTGCCCTGGCCTAATTTATGTGATGATCCATTTAAATAAAGTTATTATTATTATTATTATTATTATTATTATTATTATTATTATTATTATTATTATTAAGATTAGGCCCCTATTAATTATAAATAATTTATTACATTCAATTTCCAGGTAAACCAAACAAACAAAAAATAACACTAACAGTACCCTGGAGATTTCTAAAACTTGTGTAAAATGCTATCAGTTCAGCTAAAAATACAAAGAAAAAACATTAAAGTCAGGCCTAAGACAGAGTAGTGGCCTATTGACATTGTAGCCTATATTTAAAGGCTAGGCCTAATAATTAAATTAGCCTAGGCCTAGGCCTACGCTAAGGATAGGCTAGGCCTAGTACATAATAAGTTATTTACCAAAAAAGATAGGTGTTTTCTCAACAACTTTGATAAAAACAAGAATGGAAATATGTCGATGGTCCACGGATCGCCCATGACCCGTGTAGTTAGGCCTAGGCTTAGTAGTATGTCTTTCTATTAATTATTATGCATTCTGGAAGAATGATAGCGCTTAGCCTACAGTAGGCCTAAGCAAAGGCTAAAATTTTTGACCGTATTCCTACCTGATAAATGATCAGCATGAAGGCCTGATGTGGGATCGAGACCACACACAACAAAGTAATCCACGAATCGCCCAGGTGAAAATTGGTGTCCAGACGGCGAACCCATAACTGAATAATCTGTTGAAGTCCTGTTAACGTTATAACGGTAACATCATGGTAATTCCTCTTTATATTCTCTAAAATATACAATAGAGACAATAGGATAAACAACAATGAATACACCTCTCTTTCAACATACACAAAGCGCAACCTGCCGAATACCAAAATCTTCACATTAACTCGAGCGGAAGAGTCAGTAACCTAACATAGGCTCGTAAATAATCTAAATTTAACTAGCTTCCTATAATCTCTTAAACTATTAAATTTATCAATATTTGTCCTCTAATTGCAAATTATTTTAATACATATATTTTAATTTTTTTAATTATGCAGTTTCATAACGATTTTATCAAATTCTAACGTTCTTAAATTACAATCTTTTAAACAAGCCTGGAAATGTCCTTTTGCTGGGAACACCCACGTCGATTCTAGATTACGTCATCGTCTCGGGGATTCCCTTCTGCTATTCAACAACACAAACGATTTCGCTGAAGCGCTGCACAGTCATTAAACCACAGAGAACAACTTGCATAATTAATGCTTGAATATAAATTATTGTTATTGTAAACTTGCAATCTGTAAATATCCGGGAATAAATACATCTCCCGGAACTTTCATATGCATAAAAGGTATTTAATATTATTCTGTCTCGGTTTAGGCCTATCTATTGTATGTTTATTTCTGACTGATTAGCTTTAGGCGAAGAAAAACAAGTAGGTTGGGCAACGTTCTTGGTATCACAGGGGTGGGGCCAGCGAGGGGGCGGGGAGAGCTGGCCCCCGTCGGGGAGAAAAAGCACAATTCGTCGGGGAGAAAAAAAAATATATGTATTTTCTACATAGGCCCTATTAATAGACTCTAAAATCGATTAAATGAGCCTTTGAAACCCTAGATTGTCAAAATTTTTGGGGGCTTCGCCCCCCAGGACCACTTTTGAGACCTTTTAATCGAAGCTGTACCACGTCCACTTTGCTGTCGTTGGGGAAATCTAACCCCTCGTCGGGGGAATTCCCCCACACCCCGTCGGGGACCTTCCCCTCCCCCATCGGGCAAATCCTGGCGCCACCCCTGTATCATTTACAAATTATATTAAAAACAAATTTGTTTATATTAAAAACAAAATTGTTCTTAAAGGAGGTATACTCTCTGAACATGAACTTTTTAACATTTTTGTATCAGTGGCACACACGTCTGGTGATGCATTCAAATAACAAAAAAACACACACACACAAAATCGACTATAGAAAGGAAAGACACAAAAAACAAATTTAAAATGATTGAAAAGTAAATTAAACATTAATGAGTACAATGGAAGGAATATCCCATGAGCAAATAATGGGCTGCCCAACTCGAAAGGCGGTGCTAGCCGAATAGAGCAGTCCAACTTCCAATGAATTACTCAGCCCTTATACTTAAGACATGTTCATTTGTTGGTTGGTAACACACCTAAAAAAGGTCCTTGTCATTGAAAATGACAACCATAACTCAGCTAGCAGAATAAAAGCGAACAATAATAACAAAAAATAAGCTATCTTCCTTTCCTTCTTCTTTCTTTTACCTTTCCCTTTCTACCTCTCATATCCTCCCACTCTTTTTCTCTTTTAAGCAATTCAAATGACAAAGTAAAATGTAGGTGTGTTATAAAAAAAATTTAAAAAAAACAATAAATATATAAATTGGCTTAATAACTAACAACAGTAATGACTACAAGCCTAACTACTAACAGTGAAAAAAATTAAGTAACTGAACAGTTTAATTTGTTTGAAAGGGTAATGTAGATAGCATTAAATATATCCACTTGTGAATGCATTAATTAAATATTCTTTATAGTGGAAAACAAAAATTTGTCCTACATTTTCTATATACGGTACATATTATCAATCATAAGGTGACGCTTAAATTGCTGTGATCCATTTTTAAAATTATGCCAATATACACTTAAACCATTTTCATGAAGACTGTCCCTAATATTTGAATATAACATCTCAAATAAACTTTAACTAGTGCAGTCAAATAAGAAGTGTTCTACAGTTTCTTTTTGGTTATCAGTACAGAGTTTGCGTGTGCCTGTGTTATGATTAGGCCTATACCATGATTGTTTGTGGCCTACAATATCTATCGAGTTGGATTTTGCTTTAAATTTTAAGTTAAGGCCTTTGAAGTATGATTTGTTGACAAATAAACTTAAATAAACCGTAATATTGAATTGCGTAAATATTTTCCCTGCCATATAAAAGCCTTAATAATACAGTCCCTATATTATTATACTGTACACCACTGAATTTGCGAACATATGTTTGGAAGTGATAAGTAGTTGGGTCAGAGAGAGGTTTAATTTTGTAATATTACATTTACAATACCGGTACCGCATTGCTCATTTTCTTTATGTACGGTAGGCCTTGTATTCAAATTGTATTCAATTTATTTCTTTTCTCTTCTACCATTTCGTGTTACTATAGTTTACTATATTCCGTATCTTATCACTATACTATTTTTGTAAATAGGTACGTAGGCTTATATGAAATTATCAGGATCCACCGTAATAACAATAGGCCTATTTATCGCAATTGAATAAAACACACAAGAAAAAAAATTTACTGAAATGGTTCACAATTCAAAGAAAAAGGAAAACGATTTGAAAAAAAAACAATAAAACACTTTTATATCGGTGGCATTATAAACAATTTCTATTGTATTGTTAATGTTTCTATCTTATTAACTTTTCAATGATTTCATTGATAATTTTGTACGTACATATACCTGTCTCTTATACACATCTAGATGTGTATAAGAGACAGCTCTAAAATANNNNTTTGGCAATACTGTCCGGCCAATTGAGGGTTGTCTTTTCCACTCTCTCTTATTTTGTGTTAATGTATTTTGGATCAAATAAATGAAATGAAATGCACAACACATGGGTCTCGACAATATGATAATTGACCATTGGCCCATATACCCAAAAAAAAAAGCTCTCCCCGGTCCCCAGTTGCCAGCTGAATCTTACGCAAAAGTAGCTAAAAACACCTCATTTTACATTTTGCCAGCTAGCCCCTCACTTTCTCATCGAGACCCACTTCACCTTCCCCCTCCCAAACAATCTCAATGTTCAAGATCTGAAACTTTGATTCAGAAATACCGGGATGATGGTATGCATCCGGCGTGGGATAGTTTATGATAGTTTATTGCTTGATTTTGTTACACTTACCTTTATTATATGTTATTTTTGAGCTGACATTTGCAATTGTATTTCTATAAAAATGTTTTTTATAAATGACAATAAAATAGTTATACTGAACTGAAACCCCAATCCATTTCAATACCTCTAAATGTGCCGCTGTGAAAAAAAAAAATTAGCCTAAATATGCGTCAAATCAAAATGTATGCAATTTCATATTTATTGTAATGTATATTTATTTCATTCAACTTTTTTTAGGCCGCGTCTATGAACATGAGTACGCTAAGATTATTACATAAAGCGTTCCGGGAATTCCACTCTGCGTTGAAACAAAACGATCGATTTCAGAAGCGTTTACATATATTTCTCAACAATTGTCAAAATTTATGCTTGGATATTACTTGTTATTAATCGGATTACTCTCCAGAATAAATCAATATCCCTCTAACCATTTTTGCAAAGAATACAATTTAGGATTGATATACACTTTGTAGACCATAATTTAAAATTATAATTATACATTTAAAGATGTATTGTCCCTTGCTAATGTCAACAAATCATAATAATTTTGAAATCAACTTGCTAATTTTTCAATAACATACAAATTATTAACTTGTGTATAGAAATTATTTAATTTAAAAAATGTGTACCCTGATTTTAAACTGGATAATTATAATTAAAATAATAAAACACTTCCAGTGACTGGAAGTGTTTCTATCATTTTTCGCTGTAAACTGATGGGTAGACATTTTTAAAATAATTTCTATGTTCAAGTTGATAACTTTTTATTTCATAAAAATGGGCGAGTTAATTTCAAAAAATATTTTTTATGATTTTTTCGGTATTTAGCATGGGACAATACATCTTGAAAGCACCATTTTTAAAGGGTCTATACAGTACTTTATTTAATTTAGGGGTTTTATTTATTTTTTTTATATAGGCCTATATAGACCTTTGGTAATTTATCCTTAAAGTTTAAATAGTTACCATGTATCCAAATGGTCGGTCGTCAAATTGTCTTGGGTTTACAGAAGAGAAAATTATTTTCATTATATTTTTTACCTCCACTCAATCAAAATATTCTTTTTTGTTAAGATTATTATTCGGTACCGTAACCTGGCGTCTTTGGTAGATATAGCTATAATTTTGTAACTTGAATAGAAAACAAAAAAAAATATCATCAATGAGTGTGGCATATTTTATACAAAACTTACGTTCCTGTATCTTTTGGATTTCACTGAGGGCGTAGGCATCCTATCTATAGTATACAGTATAGACACACTTTACAAGAGCATAAACGTGAGTAAGGTCTCGGAAAAAATGCAAATCCTCATGGAAACACACCGACCCTCTACACAAACCATAGAGAAAATAGAAAGGACTACCATGGGTCAGGACAGAATGTAGGCTTTAATAAACTTGCAAATATTTCGTATTTTTTCTCATCCCACATAAGATGAAATTAACTTTAATCTCAATACACTATGCCACCATGATGCCTATAAAATGCTCCCTCAATTTCATCCATGATTTATTTTTTTGTAACAAATACTGTACTCGAACGTTTAATGAAATCTTCTTTTTTTAACATTAGTTCTTATATGTTCGACTGTTCCTATCACTCTCCTATAAATGTTCCTTTTTTCTTCCTTCAAGTCAGATGCAATATGTACAATACATGTTAACATTTTATTATCTACAATAGTTTGTCTCTTGTAAATGGGTGAAAATGCTTTTTTTTCTCCCCTATCAAATCCAATGCAATCTGGTCATTTAAAAACGCCTTTCTTGACAGATACGAAGCGCTACCGTTTTTTTTTTCTTCTCTCCAATCAAATCCAATGGTCATTTAAAAACGCCTTTCTTGACAGATACGAAGCGCTACACCCCACTACCCACTGTCACTTATGACCAATGGTCAACACAAGCACAGAGCAGGTAAAACAATAAAAAGAATCAATGGCAAAGGTCAGAATCATAAATAAATAATGCAACAATAAATAAAATTATAAAGAATGAAGACTATTAATTAAAGAGGTGAATCTAAGTTGCTTGGATATAGGCTGATGAAAATATACCGATCTGGTAGGCCTAGGATTTTGCTTTTTACGTACATGTAAAATGTCAAGATATATTTCGGGCTTTAGCCAGACAACGAATTGAAAGCAAGAATCAGTATGTTGAAGTAAACCTTTAAAAAGGCAGGCAGTACAGTGAAGTTCACGGAGAATATGTAATGTTTGAGTATAGCCGTTTTCTTGTACTTTTATCAATTTCGATTTATTCATCTTATTTTCACGATTTATTATTTTCCTTTTTTCACAAAAATGTTTAATGTTGCATGTCATCAGAATACTATTATATAACCGTCTTCTAATGGATTAATTATTAAATAATGTTAAAATCAGATACACCTATTCACAATGCATGTTAACATTCTAAGTAAAATTATTTTTCAACAAACACTGCTCCTTAATAAGCCCCAAAAATAAGCGCAAACCTTTATCACATGGCCATTTTATTTATTCAACCGTCATATTATAGCATCCATTAACCGTTTAACGTTTCAATCGAACTTTTATGCCACGGTATTTATTGATTCATTTACAGTAATTTCTTCAGCCATATTTCCTTTAATAAAGATTTTACCAAGTTTTGTTTTCCATTTTATAGGCCTATTCTCTCAAATTGTTTACCATCTTCCTTATATCATGGACTTATTAATAAGATTAATAGGTCCATGCTTAATATATGTTACAATCAACTGAAAGCTATCATTGTTTTGTGCATTTATTGCAAAGTGCTGAATTTCCAATTTTGCAAAAGCATCCGTGATAACTGATTATTGGCAACATTTCAAACGGACGGGGAAAAAAGCTTGGTATTACAATTGCAATTCTGAGTACATAAACAATTTTTATTCAACTGTGTAAGCATTTTGCATTAGTTCATAAGAACAAAGAAAACATAAATAACGGAAGCATGTTGATTTTCTTTGAATGACTAAAATAAATGAGGACAAAGACAGGTGATATGAGCATGAACGACAAAACTGAAAATCTATTCACAAATATACCAGTGTTTCATCATTCCACAATCGTTGCTAATTTCAGGTGGTTTTAAGTTAGAACCCTATTGGCTATAATATATACTGACTGTTTTTCATTGGTTAATTTTCTTTAACGCTTCAGGAATATCTGTTTGCAATGTAGACATATTATCCACTCATGATGATGATCTAATAAAAAAAAACGAAATATTGAATCACAATGACGAGTCTTAATGTATTTGGAGTATGTTTTATACTAAGTTATCTAAAACTTATCAGTGGACAGGGGGTTTTGTCACTTTGAAAAGAGTATTAAAAAACTGAATACAAATAGAAAACAGCTGTTAAAATAGTCAATTGTTTATAAATAATACATAATGATTGGGGGTGCATTCAGCAGTTTAGGTTAAGTCAACCATATATTTATAATAGTATCAGTGATCCAAGTGAATGACGTCAACAAATATTACGTAAGCTACATGTTGTTTACTTATGGTCTCCCACTGTTAAATCACCCAAAGCAATTTAACCATTTTCTCTATGGTTTAACCAAACGCGACTAAATATTATTCTGTCAATTAAATAAATATTGTTATTGATTAATCTTGTATTAATAATGAAGATCAGTGCAACTCAAGAGTTTCATTTTACATGGTTTCTGTAGTACTATATATTTTATAATTCTGAATCATTAATATTTTTCTCTTCTGATCAGTGGCAGTACCAGCAGAGGTCCAGAGGCATAGGTCCCCTATACCCTGGATCCCTGTTAGATAAGAAGCCAATTCATTTCGTCAGGGAGCACTGCTTTGAAAAAGCATTGTTACAGTCAGAGTGCTCTAGTGTGGTGGGGCTCCAGACCCCAGTTTGGAATACTGAGCCTCTCATTGGAAACCTTCGACGGGAAATTCTGGCACCATCACTGCTTCTAATCTATAAAAGTTTTGTGTTAAAAATCAACATTAGAATATACAGGGTTATAAGTTCTAAACCAATCTGATATTGTTGGCTAATAAAATAATAATATATTTTAGGTACGAATAAGTTTTCCAGAAAAATATTGAAACAATAATTTTAGTAGCAGTAGTAGTAAAGTACTACTAGTAATGATTTAATTTTTAAAATGGCAGAATCAGTAGTAGTGCAAATAACATTAACAGCAATAAAAAATCATATTTTTTAAATTATTATTATTACTTAATATTATTATTACTATTACAATTGGATATCTCTGATGCAATATTACTGCAGAGAACATGAACACATCATTTCCATTAATAAGCAATTATTAGAGCTCCGCATAGTATACTATAGGAAAATTATTATACAAAGGTTAGATTTAATGCTTCAAAAAAATTTCCTGTGGGCCTGCAAGGCCCGAAGGAAATTTTTGAATGCATTAAATCTAACCCAAGTATAATAATTTTCCATTTAGTGTACGATGCATGCTCTACTAATTGCTTTATAAGTCAATCGCCGTCTTTTAATTTTAGTTTTTTATAACTGTTGTAGCAGTCATCGGTTGCTATAGTGATATGATCAGTGTACGTGTGCGTATTTACATTTAGCTGTGCGTATGCTGATTTTTGCTCCTGCAGTAGGCGTTTAATTAACTACACATCAGTACAGTATGGATACGATGAATAACTATTGTAATTTGTATTGTGTTAGAAAGAACTTGTTTGTAATGCTATTTTGATAGACTTTTGTGAAAGAAATAAACATTTCAGCATTCGAGAGAGAATACAGTCACTGACGTCCTTTTTGGTCGGTGCACGCAGACAGGTAAATCGTGCGATGATTTCATAACTAGGCTAGGCTACGGCCGGCCGGGGCTACAGCCTGTGGGTAATAGGAGGCCTGGGCAGCCTCCTGCCTGGCCGTAGGCCTACATCTAAATTTGTTCCATGAGTCTTTAAAATAGGTCTAGAATATTCCTATTAAACGTTCAGTTTGTTGTGCTTATGAGGGTCCATTGATTCAATGAATTCCTTAATTGTTCATACTTAATATTGAATTTGAAGTAACTTTCTTCGGGTTCTAATTAAGCTGGTTTTACGAAAGTAATTTTCAATTACAATTTAATTTTTATCGCGGTGCGCGATGTCATTCGCGGTGACGAAAATATGAGGAATATTTTTTTGCACACAAACCTAAAAAAAATCAAGCCAAGCGTCCACAAATTGAAAAATTAGTGGACGGTGGGGAATATGAAAATAACATTGGGAGTTACAGTGATGACGTCACAATTGACTTAAAAAAATTATTATAGGTTGAGTGAACAAAGAAAATTCAAATACAGTATGCAATAAGTGTGATGATAATAACGACAGTATGTAAACAAGTTTCTATAAATGAGAAGTTTAAATTCAATGGTGATGCCTTGGTAATGAAATAGGTATTTTCTAATATTTAATCATGCAGTTGTTACTTTAGAGCAGAGACCAATACAACATTTACATCATACTGGCACCCATACCCATGGGCCATGGGTACAAAAAAAAACAAACAAACAAAAAATTGTAGACATACTGCAAAACCAATAAGACCACTGTCAGACACATGCCCTACAGTTTCAAAGGACAAAGCCCGCTGTGTCACATGCCTCTACGAGTCAATTCAACTAGGGTAATGAAAACACCAATTGGATGGTCGAGCAGTTAAGTCAGGTGCGCCACAACCTACAGTACAGTCACAATATCAGCACTGGTTTGAATGACACGCTCAGCTTGCCTATGGGTCTAGTGGTGGAACAAGTCATTTCGGATAAGGATTATAAACTGTAGGCCCAGTGTATACAATGGCTTGTGTGCACTATAAAGAACCCAGTAAGTTTTTCGAGATGAGTGGTGGGTGGGGGTTGTTTACCCCAGTGTACTGGTTCATACAGCCCCTGCTGTGGTCAGATGCGAGCTAGTCCACACCATGGGCGCTTTGAGACTTTGGAGACTATGAAGCGCTGTATAAATAATCCAACCACACTACATTACCATGGATAGACATAGGGAAAACAAGTTATCTGATAACTATTGGAGATTTTATAAAAAGGAGACTATGGTAGGAGGGGCATCTCCAAACATTTTGGCCTTATACAACATGAAGATAGGAACACACCCCAAGAATTATATAACCAATAACATCACTGGTAATGATTGCAGATAAGTCATGTCTTTTTTAATTATTTGATCATACAAAAAAGAGTTCTAGTTTTCTTAGTCATAAATTTCAAACACTCGTCCCATCCTCCTTTACTGTTTCATAAACTGGTTCATCTTTCTCTTCGTTGTTCTCTGACCCCTCATCAGCTGGCGATTGTGCTTCAGCAAGTTTTCTCTGTTCTTCCTCGTGTTTCTTGGCATCAGGAATCCACAGTCCAGAATCAATGCACTTTTTTAAGATCTCTTCACCCTCCTTTGGGTCCATGGCAGATAAAACCCTTTGAAGCATTGGTATGTCTTTGGCTTCAAAGCATTCTTTAACCTCCTGTTTGGGGAAGAGAAAAAAATAGGAAGTCCACTTTTCATTTGATATCCTTTCTCTTTATGCCCCTCTCCCCATTTTCTTCAATAAATATTACCTTTCATTGCAATTTTTATTACTCTTTTATCGCATTTTTTTTCATCCTTTCAATCTCTCCATAATCATATGAGTACACACTTATACATCTGAGTGGAGACAACTATACTTAAAATACCTTTCACAAAAAGACAAGCGAAATTGAACCTATATGTTTAAGCTGCGGTACACAACATATGTAGTTCTGAAAAGAACTGTTGTAGTTGAGAAAGTCTCAACGTTTCGATTGAGTTGCTTCAATCATCTTCAGGAGAATAATATCTGGAAATTGAACCTCCAACCTCAAAGTTGAGAGCTTGAATCTTAAACACTGCGCCAACCTCTCCCACCATATGTTTACTCTTCAAAGGCATAAAGAACACAAACAATGACCACATAACCCATAGAACTTACAGGTGGCAGAGATTCAAAAACCTCTACTGGATCCAGGCCTCCAGGCCCAAGACGAGCTTGTCGTTCCGCCTCCATTTCCTACCAAAAGAAAAAAATGAGTAAGCCAGGTGTTTGTCAATATGCAATCAAGTAAGTTTTGAAAATAGTATTATAATTAGCACAATAATAACAATCATAAATATAATGAGAATCTCAATAATATTATTTTTGTTATCTTTTATTGTTACAGTATTATTAAGAATCTAAATAATATTATTTTTATCTTTTATCATCATTATTGAGAATCTCAATAACAATAATATTTTTGTTGTCATTTCTTATTATTGTTGAGAATCTCAATAATATCATTTATATCATCATTTTATTCCTATTACGGAGAATCTAAATAATAATAATAATAAACGATGATAAGAAATATGAAATAACAATAACGGCAAAGATGAATACAACGACGACAACAATAATAATGAGTAATTTACTCAAATGAGAAAAATTGATCTTGTGTGATTTAGAAAGTGTTGTAGCGTATCAAACTGAACAGGAGCAGCATTTGAAAAACCTTGGATCTCAGTTTTTTTATGCTATTAAATTTTGTTTAAATGTGAATATAGTTTTTGAGTCTACCACTGATTGTGGTAGCAGTGGCGTCACAGAGTTTGTGGGGCCCTGGCGGTGACTGTTATTGGGGGCCCTAATAAGGGAGCGAAGCGAGTGTTAAGTTGGCGAGTGGAGCGAGCAAAACGGACGCTGGGGGCCAGGGGGCCACGTAGGGCCCTGGTTGGAGTCCAAGGAGTGAAGGCCCCTGTTGGCGTTCCAAAGGGGCTTCACCCCCTTGCGCTCAGAGCTTATAACATTTATGAACCATTAACTGAGTTGTCAAAGAACATAGAATGGTCCATAACTTCCAAAATATTTCAGACAATTTTATGACAAAACCAATATCGATTACATAGGCCAACTTTCGAAACTGGTATAGGCCTACAGTAGGCCTATGTACTCTATGTAGGTGTAAATAAATACAGAGAATATTTTAGTGAGAAACAAAACATGTTTTAATAAAGTATATACAAAGCAAAGCAGATTGATCACAAAATCAGAAACACATTTCTAACATCAGAGCCAGCTTTTAAGCTGTCAGGGCCCCATTGAATGAAACTATGGTATTATATTTTACATTATATTTTTTAAAACTACAATGTCAGGGCCCCTCGTGCCTGGGGGCCCTGGCGTTCCACCCCCCGTCAGCGCCCGAGTGTGACGCCACTGTGTGATTGTCTATTCCAGTGTAAAATAACAGATGGATAAAATGATGATTTAAAGGACAGAGTGGATGTCAGTGTGGAAAAATTAAACAACCAGAGCCTTGCAGGCGTCAACGTTCCTATGCATGATACAC